CTGCCTCCCACCACCTCCATAGCAAATCCACTCGCCCCAAGGCTCGCCAGCCCCAGCACTAGAAACACTCATGACCTCATTCTACATAAAGGAGGAATTCCCCCGTAGGACCCCAACCACAGCTAACTCCAGCTGAGAAGAACAATGTCCTGTGGGAACTAAGCACCTTGAACACAAACCCTAAACTGTGGCTCCAATACTTTAACTCCACAGGCTCCCCAGGGGTCCCAAAGGACACATTCAAGTCGTATTTTGTTTGCTCATAAGAAAGCTTTATTTCTCTCGTCAGTCAAATAACTAACTTCTTGCAAAATGTGCAACAAATCCCACAAGCAGACAACGAGCTGGCCTCCACCTGCAGAGCAAATGTTCACAAGACAACATGCCATGAGCTAAAATATACCATTTCAAAACACACCAGTACACAGAGCATGCATGGCAGACAACTCCATCAAGAACCCCCGACAGCTGACTGACTGCAGTATTCTACTTAGGAGTTTCCAAAGCACAGAGTGTGCAAAACCAGCCCCCTACAGCCAGACATCCACAGGCAGCACAGCCAAACATTTACAGCCTGTCTTGCAAGTAGGTGCACAGTGTAGCCTGGGGGCTCTCATTTAGAAAGGAGTATTTCATGGGTGGCTCAAACAATCTCAGACCACAGGCAGGGTCAGTCTCATCATCCTGTTATCACACTGTAATCAGTCAGGCAGTCAGTCATCCAATTCTGTCTGGTTACTGGCCAGCAGCACAACTCCTCCACCCTCGTTCCAAAGCCTGCAATCCCTTCTTGGCATCCTGACTTCTTGCGTAAGAGTCCCTGCCCCAACTCAGCTTCTTGACTTTTCTTTACAGCAGACTTACAAACTATGGCCCTATCTCTTCTGCAGATTCACTGACACTGAGGTTTCTCCTCTGCTTTTTTCTTCAAAACCTCATCCCACCCTCCTAACTGATCAGCCTGGTCCCATTTTCACGCTGCTCCCCCCTCAGCCTCTCTTGCTCTCTTCAGATTTATCTCCCTCAAGTACAAGTATGTGTTGGCCCTTAGATGTTCAGTGTTATGACAGCAGTGTGTGATCCCTGCCCACTATCCCTGAAAGGCCCACTGCTCCCAGGAATTTTTCATAGTCCTGGAATGAGCTGAGAACTCTTAACCTGAATACTACCTTCAACTTGCTTTAAAAAAAAAAAAAAAAAAAGCCTCCCCTAACCCTGTTTCAAGGGAACCATTTAAATTAATTTCCTCCTCACATACAGCTGTGGGGACAGCTGCAAATGCCATCCAACCATTTCCACCTTTCCTCACTGCAAGTTAAAGAGGTAGATTAAAGAATGTATTTCAGCCTGTACATTTTAAATCACATGAAAGTACCATTTACAAAGTGAGGACCATCAAATCCCACAGCACATACAATGTCTTTGTTGCACATCCAAATGGCTCAGATTTTAAGACAGACAGTAGAGCACTAGTACCTAGGTCAATCCCCCTTCAGCTGCCCCAGCCCACCACCCAAGTAAGTTACAGTCCCCAGCCAGCCCTCTCCAGACCATACCTAAAGGCCTTCTCCATGTACCTGTGTTCCACTGCATAGATGTCCTTGTCTTTCTGTCCCGCCCTGATACCACATGTTGTGGACCACCCATCTCTCCCTTATCTGTCCCTTTTTGCTGCAATAGAAGACATACTGCTACCACTGGCATATTAAGTTGTAGCCCTTTCCTCAGCTTCTCCAGTACCTTAGGCAAGTACCTCTGCCCTCCCTACCCCCGGCCCCATGAAGTCATATGTATCGTTTTCAAATTCTTCCTGGCACCAACTGAAATGGCCAATCATTGACTGGTGTCCAAAGAAGAAGCTGAATGAAAAGTTCTCGGCAACAACTGTGAGGCCTACTTCCATTCCCCAACCCTCTGATACATGGGGACAGAGTTCCTCTAAGCAGTCTCCAAAGACTCTTTGAACTCCCTGTTACACACCAAATGCTATCCAAAACTCTCTGCTTGGTGTGCCCAGCTGTTTCTCCATACACCTCTGACACTCATCACTCCTGTCCCTATTCTGTCATTTGCTGTGCCCTGTATTTGGCTGATTCCTAGCTCTGTGACCCTCTCCAACTGGGAGTGACAGGTCTTTTCTTCTGGTGGACTCCTTTGTACCTTCTGGGATTTCAAATCTGCAGTTACATGGGGTCTTAAAAAAAGCAGCTCCTGGGAAATCTTTACACACATATACAGAACCCAACCCCATACAAGAAAATGGCTATGGAAATATACTTCCCTTTCTTCTCCACAAACAGGAGCAATAGTATTCTTTGGGAATGATTTCAATATATATATTTTTAAATATGAATTTCATATAATCATTATGAAATCACGGGAAAGTTAAACAGTATTGGACGGTACTCTTTTCTCCTCCTATCTAGTGCTTCGGTTACTTTTTCTCTATTTACCCGTAATAGAGAATTCCTCCAGTTTTACTGTCCCCCTACTCAAATTCAGTTTGCTTCTGATGATTCAGACCTAGCACAAGCAGTTCCCTTCCCATCAGAGTTTTGTTTCTCTATAAATGTTGTGTGTTGAGCCTGAAGGTGGTTCACTATCTTCTCCTCTATTTCCACACCTTGTGCTACTTCTTCATCAGAAAGCGATAACTTAGTTTGAGAGTCTTTAGTTACAACAATAACAGAGGTTCTCCGTGATTCCAGGATATTTGCAATCACCACCTGATGCCGATACTTTTCCAAAGCCTTCAGTGATTTATCAATTAAGATGTCTGGATCCGTTTCCAGTTTAAAGGAAATAACAAAAGCTTCAGGGGCCCATTCTTTGACTAGTGGAGACAGCATTTTTGGCACCATCTTCATCGTGATCTGCATTCGGGAGGAAAAAAAAATATCAGAAGACAGACATTTTTGCACATAGTAAAATGATTTCAAAGAGAAATAAGGTAAAGACAGGGAATACAGAAAATGCTAGTTTCAGCTGAATTCTACACTTAGAGCATTGTCATTTTTAAGTCTCCATTTCATTTTACTAGGAAAATTAAAAAATGTCCATTATCACACACACTCACAAAATTCAGTTTGAATACTAACTTGGATGAGAAAAAAAAGTTTCCTTGACAGATGAAGCAGCCCTAAGTAACAGAATCAATATGCCAGCTCCTCTCATCTGGAAGCAAGGTGTTGGGGATAACTCTGATCCCACTTAAAGGTGAGTTTTCAAACCTCTGTAATGCAGACATACGAAGGAGGGCTCGCCGTTTCATTCTGCACTGACATTTTCAGGTTAAATATATAGCATCTACAAGCAAGTTCTGGAGATCTGCTAGCCCTGGATCTAGTTCAGGCACAAAGCTAAGCAGAACCACCTAGCTAGATTAGCAGCGCAGCCCTTAACCTGCCATGCAACCTTTCCGCTCCATTCCTCAGCATTACCTCCCACCCTTTGTTCTAATTTGCCCAACCACGACGCAACTCAGGGCACAAACTGTTTCCTCACAGGTTCTTCCCCCCGGCAGATCTTGTCATCACCAGCCTTGCGTGCACCCCCCGCCCCTCCCCCGACTTACAGGAGGGTGGAGACTGGAAACCCTAGCTACCTCCCTAGGAGAAAGCCACTAATCAAGGGGAAAAAATAAGAAAAGGGTTGGAAAGGCAGGGCCCATTGCTGGTCTGCCAGCCTTAATGGCCTGGCACATCTAATGGGTGCAAGGGGAACTCCATGCTTTTTGGCATTGAGCACGGTCACTGGCTTCTGCCTCCATAGGACACCCAGACGTGTGTGCAGGCAAGTCCAAGGTCACTGAACCCATCATGGGCAGGGCAGGGAGGATGAGCCGAGCGCCGGCACAGACTAGAGCTTTCACCTGCAGAGGCCCCTCTGAGGACTGGATCTTGTGTTCGGGCATCTCCGAGGCTGGCACGTAGAAGTCGGACACGGCTGCAGCCAGGTAGAACATGGCGCTGGCACCTGAGGAGACAGGCTGGGGTAGTAAGAACATAGAGAACATGCAAACTGCCATGGACTGGGTCAGACCACAGGTCTGTCTTGCCCAGTCTCCTGCCACACCATGGCAGAGCGCAGCTACTGGAAAGGAGCGACCTGGGTCTGACCAGTCTTTTCCACTGTTCCTCTCTCTTGCAGCCTGCAGCATTTAAGCTCAAGGAAGCTCTGGTGCAGAGGCTGCGCCCCTCGCTCCCATACCCAAGAGCTGCTGATGCCCCTTTCCTCCGAGCACATGTCCAAGCCCTTTCTGAATGTGACTGAGCGCTCGGCTCCCACAACAGCTGGTGGCAACGAGTTCCACACACATTAATGACCTGCTGGGTGAAAAATAGCTTCTTCTCCATCCTTTTAAACTGACTGCCTACTAGCTCCATGTTGCCACCCCTAATTCTTGTATTGAGACATAAAAAATAATAAATCTCTATTTACTTTCTCTTCCCCATTTAGCATTTGGTAAACGCTCATGTGATGCCCGAGACATCTCTTTTTTAAGCTGAAGAAGCCTGGCCCCGTTTCAGACCAGTCATCCTTGTGCCCATCTCTAGTCCCTCCCTACGGCTTTGGCGGTGGGACCAGAACTGGGCACCGTGTTCAAGGGGCAGCCGTCCTGCGGGCTCATAAACGGCACGCGACACTTTAGCTCTGCTCACAACTCATCGCTAATCTTTCATTTGCCCTTTCGACGGCTGCCAAGCGGATGTTCGCTGCACGTCACCCGACAGCGCGGCCTCCGCGCCTCTCCCAGAGCACGCGAGCGTGTTTGTGACCGCCCACGAGCTTGTCCATGTCCGTGCGCACACGCAAACGTCCATGCACACACGGTCGTGCGGGGCTGTGTCCGGGGCTGCTCGCATGTGAAAACGGGCACGAGCACAATCACGCCTGGGCATGCTTGTGTGGGGCCGTGCCTGCAACTGCACACGGGTGTGCCCGTGACTGCTCACACGTGCACAGACACAATCGCACGTGTGCCGAGGTGCAGGGGCACAATGACGCGTGCCCTGTTGGCACGTACCGAGGGGCGCGAGGGCGCGGGCGGCGGCGCGCAGCAGCGCCAGGTACTCGGCCAGGCCAGTGAACTCGAGCGGCAGCAGCGCGGCCTGGTCCCGCGCG